TTCAGCATTCCCTTTGTGGTCTCCCTGACTTCTTTCAACTGTCTGTTTATGGATTCCATGAATGGCTCTACTGATCTTTGTCTATTCTCATCCCACTCTTGCAATTCCTGAATTACTCTTTGATTAGCTTCCTCGCTTTTACCCAATTCCTGTTAGTTTTCTTTGTTCTCAGCCTGCTCACACAATTCCTTTATTTCTCTTTGAGTGTTCTCAACCTTCTCATGCAATTCCTGTATTAATCTTTGAGTAGCTTCTTCACACTCATAAGATTCCTCTATTGATCTTTGGTTTGCCTCCTCTTGTTCCTTTCATGCTCACAATGAGTCCTTTGCAGGTTTTCAATCTTTCCATTCATCATGTTAGCAGTAGTGTTTGTAGAGCTTTTTGGGAACTCTCCTCTGGATTTTTCATTATCTGTTCTGTTACCTGATTATCATGAGTGGGATTTGAGATACCCAGACTTGCCATTTTCCTTGTGTTAATCTGGCTTGTTCTGCCCATTTGGTATGAAAGTAACACCAATTTTGTGCTAGAACACTATTTTAAGTCAAGCACCAACAACGTCCTGTACTTGCACAGTCAAAAGGTTGCAGATACAATCTAGTTGAACAGATACAATCTATTCATCTTCAAACAATTATGGATAAATGAGCTAAAAACAGCAAAGAAGAATTTGGCTAACCAGAAATTATTAGCTTTAGGGAGGGATGTGGAGAGTAAAGGGAGAGTGAAATTAACCAAGTCCTAATCTCAAAGAGGGAAATGGGTTGAACAGATTAATAGGAGAGAGAGAAAAAAAGAGAGACAAGAGAAACTGAAAAAAATGTCAATTTAAAAAGTGAAACTTAAAATTTATCTAAGTGAAATTGTGAGAAGAAAGGGATAGAATGAGAGGAGTGGAAGGATAGAAAGGAGACATGAAAAAGTAAACAATAAAAATTCTTACAAAATTATATACGTTAAAAGAGATAATACTGCTATTAAAGAATTTTAGGCTAAGAAGTATTGAATTGAAGAATAAATTTCTGGATTAAATATGTACACAATGAGGAATACGGTCTAATAATCGATGATGGGTATATACCTGAGGATGACCAGAACAGCAATTAAGTCACGCAAAAAAGAAAGAAAAAAAAGAAAATATGAAGAAAAAAAAGGACCAAAATATCGAGATTTAAAAAAGCACACACAACATATATACCTAAAATAAAAATTATAAGAGCAAAAAAAATATTAAAAATATTGTTTATTTTTTAAAAATTTAATAAAAGATCCAAGAAAGAGTTCCTGAAATTTTTTTTGGGGGGGGGTGGAGTTAATGGGAAAATCCTGCACATGGTTTGGTGCCTCTGGGGGAAGATGGGGCTCAGGGTCTTGCTCTGGAAATGGAAGGATACTCCCAGCATGCCCTGGGGCATGGGGTAGTGAGCATCATAGGATGGAGACCTTGTCCTTGAGCCTGTGGGACTGCATATGGTTCCGGAATACCGCAGGGCCTTGCCCGTGTCTGGGCGCAGATTCAGCAGCAACAACACGGGGCAGATCCTGAGCAGCAGTTCCAGGGGACAGGGGTGGGATCCATAGTCTATTCCTGCTATTCTGCCCCCTCTCTGGGTTGAGGTGTCTCACCTGCGCCGCATGGGTTTCTCTTTTCTTCTACTCTCAGAGTTTGGGATGATTTTCATTTAATGATTGTGTGGCTTTAATACATTGGCTATTCTGTCTGTCTGTCTGTCTATCTGTCTGTCTTCACTCTTTTTTATCTCCGTGTTTCTGTTGAGCCTTTGCCATCATTGGCACTGCTCACTGTGGCATCCACAGACCCTCATGAGAAATGAAACCACTTGCCTTTTCTTTAAAAAATTTAAATACAGGATTGATATTTATTGGAGTTGGGTGGCAAAAAGTAGAGGGAATTAAAGAGAAATTTATGTTTTCATTATGAAAACGTCGGTGTGTGTGTGTGTGTGTGTGTGTGTGTGTGTGTGTGTGTGTGTATGTGTGTGTGTGTATCAGCACTGGAAGTCTGGGCCCCAAGGTCCCTCTCTTGGCTTTGTAATACACATGTGTCATTTTAGCATTTGACAAATACCTCCTGTCCCATATTTTTACTTGTAAGTTAGAGATAAAGTCTCATAGACTTTTCTGTCCAGGCTAATTTTGAACTGTAATCCTCAGATCCAAGCCTTCTAAGAGAGCCACTGGTGTCTGGATGGCAAAAAATTACGTGTCTAATATAGAAATTCAAAATGAGTTTAATAATAGATTTCCACAAGAATGTGAAAATTTAATACACATTACCTAAGGTTTTAGTCCATATTTTAAGAATAACACTTTTTTCTTTATTGAGATTATGTAATTTATAAATTTCACACTATTGTGGCATAATGATACTTAGCTAAAGTCACTAACACATTTAAATCTTCACAATGCATCTTGTCATCGTCTTGATCTACAAAGCTTATGAACTCTACAGACTTTAACAATAAAACTGTTTCCTCCAAATTGGGTGATATGTACATTTCTTTCCTTTTGCTCAGTATCAGCTGTTTCCATTTTCTCTCTCATTCCCACCCTCCCATCATCACTGTTGAGCTGCTTAGTTCACTTTCATCAATGACCAGTGCCGCTGATGGGCCCTCTGCTGTATTTTTTTCACCCATTTTCCTCCACTTCTTTGACTTCCTTCTGGCTTCCCTCAGATGTGCATGCCTATGCAGCATATATGGGGACAAGAACATACAGTGATTTAGAAGTTATATGAAAAGTAAGAAGAGGTCCTTTATTTCTTGGGTCTTGTTTACTTTGTCATATTTCAATGTAAAACATGTTTATGACATGTAATTTAGTCCAATCAAATGGAGATTGAACATCACTGGATCTTAAAAAAATAAGCAGAAAATGAAGCAATGGAAGTAAGGGCACACTAACTTTTGCCAGCATAGCTAATGAGATCTCCTCCAAAAATAGAGTATGGCTATTCATCTCTTTTCTCTTCTTCCATTTCTGTTTGGAAGTCCTTAGTGATTTGGCCCAATAAGATGCACAAGTTTGCTAATTGTGAGCTCTGGAGATTAATTTTCCTAATGTCAATGATGAGTCCATCCTTTCCCACCTTCACTTGAGCATCTCCTGGACAGCTGCGGTCCTCTGAAACAGAGGCTGGCACTAGCCCGCTCCTGGTCTGTCAGTCCTGAGGATGGAGGCTGAGCTTTCTCTATGCACCAGACTTGAAGAGATCCTTGGTTCTTTACCCCTTGGTTGTGTCTAAAGACAGAAGCATCTCTACCCTGTAAGTACTGATGTATTAGATACATGAAGAGTCTTGGAAATACCACCTCTTAATCATAAATATCAACATAATGGTTTTGGGAAGTCAGATGGTAGGACAGCGCAGTAAAAATTATTTCACCACTTGTGTGAATGCTTCAGTTCCCTATGTTTTATACGTTCTTATAGTTGTGATTTGTTACCAGAATGGGTAACCAAAATTTTTTTTCTTTCTACCTATACAGTAATGGTTCTGATCCTGTTAAGTTCTTCCCCAAATTACAATATCTGTATTATTCTAAACTCTTTCTGAGTACTGCAGAGGGACTTTCACAATCATATTGAAGGTCTGAAACTCAGTTATCAAAATAGCATCAATGACAAGGTGCTGGTGCCTCATGCCTGTGATCCTAGCTACTCAGGATGCTGAGATCTGAGGATTGCAGTTCAAAGCCATCCCAGGCAGGGAATTCCAAGAAACTCTTTTCTCCAATGGACCACTGAAAACCAGAAGTGGCAATTATTAAATGAGCACCTATACACAACAGTGAGTACTCTCTTCTTTGAGTCATTGTAAGTGGGATAATCTGTTTGGATTCCAGATATTTCTGTTTCGGTGCAGATGCTTTTCTATTTTCCATCCATGGCCCAACAGAATTAGAGACATCACTATGCGTATCTATGTCATCCATGTGGGGGTGACGTCACACCACTGAGCCACACTACAGCATTGAATGACATCAAGATCTCTGGACTCAGAAGCATGTGCTTGTTTATCCATTGGACTCCTTCTGGCTGTACAACGTGGTGGTGGCCTGACAATATTCCTACTTCAAGCTCCTCAACACTTTGATTTCTTTGGGACTCTTCAGAATCATTCTTGTTCTCATAGAATTGTAAAGAACATTGAGAGTTTTGAAGTCTGATCCTATCTGATGTTTTTGTCCTCTCTTGGGGAGCTTTTTCTCTTCTTGTAAATGCTTCTATTTCTCCATCCATTAATATTGAGGATTCTTAGGGACTGGGATGACAAGGCTCTGCTTGGCCAATTGTGTACTCAGTATTTTTGGATTTCAATAAGAAATAATATCCAATAAGCAAACGATTGCTGCAGCTGCTCATTTGGACAACTGTAGTTATGTTGGTGCACTCGCATTTCTTCCCTAAAAAATACATTTATAGATTCCTGTTGGAAACTGCAATAGATTAACATCGTGCTCTAAAATTCTTAAAGAAAGAAAAGAAAGAATGAGAGATTTTCCAGTAAAATAAACTCAGTAATGTAGCAAAATAGAAAATATGTGAACAGAAATATGCAGCTAGGTCAGAGAATGGACTTGAGTTACCATAATGAAAGCATGGAAATGTTCAACAACATAACTTCCTATACGAGTAACTTCCTATACTAATATAGTGATATTCAAGCAGTGATATAGTATAGGTAGGAAGAATAATTGATACAGGAAAGAGAAAAGAATAAGCACAGTAGATAATGTAGTCATTAGAAAGTATGATAGTATAAAGGACAGATTACACTGGAGGAATCATAAAATATCCAAGTTAGAATGCAAATTTTGGAGGTCTTGTTGGGAATGTGCTATGTCTCTAACATAACCAGAGGAATGAATTAGAGTAACTTGTTTGTTCAAAGAAGTCCTCACAGTAAACTAAGATGTGATACAGATTGCTCTCAGAGCCTCTAAATATTCTAGGCAACATCTATGTTTATCTTAATGTTTGTTTCTTCCAGAACCTGATCTCTCCCTGAACCTGGAGAAAGAATTTCTCTCAGGTCTTATCAGGATGATGTAGCACTTGGGGGCAAAGATGCAGCCTAGGAGACCTGCACTGGAGGCCAAAATGGAGAACACCTCCACGGCTACCATGGCCTTCCCCTTGGTGCTGTGGTAGACAGGCAGGAAGGTGAGCCACACACTGCAGAACACCAGCATGCTGAAGGTCAGGAACTTGGCCTCATTGAAGGTGTCAGGCTGGTTTCTGGCCAGAAAAGCCAAAGTGAAGCTGGCCAGGGCCAGAGAGCCAAGGTATCCCAGGACACAGTAGAAGGCAGTGAGAGAGCCCATGTTGCACAGGATGATGATGTAGCCATGTTCAGATTGTGCATCTTTGTCCACAAAGGGAGGAGAGATTCGCAGCCAGAGGCCACAGAGGGTCACCTGGATGAGAGTGCAGATGGGGATGAGGAGGTTAGGAACCCAGAACAGCAGCCACTGCCTCGTGCTTCTCCCTGGAGCAGTGAGCGTGAAGGCCAGAACCACAGTGATGGTCTTGGCCAGGACCGTGGAGACAGCCACAGTGAAGACCACTGCGAATGTGGTGTGCTGCAGGATGCAGGTGGCTGTGTGGGGACGGCCAAGGAAGAGCAAGGAGCAGAGGAAGCAGCAGATGAGGGAGATGAGCAGGATGTAGCTGAGGGCCCAGTTATTGGCCTTGACAATAGGGGTGTCTTCGTGCTTGATAAACACCCCAAGAACAGCAGCTGTGAGTGCAGAGCAGCAAAGAGCAGTGCAAGCCAGAGCCATACCCAAGGGGTCTTCATAAGCCAGGAAGCCCTCAGTTTTCCTCAGGCAGTGATTTCTCTGCATGTTGGCAAACTGATGATCTGCACACCTGACACACTGCTCCATGTCTGGTGAGGTGTGAGAATCACTATTAGTTTGTGTTTAGTATTTGTCTTTCCTCTCAACCCCCTTCATTCAAGTAGCTATCACATTTCCCCTGATTCACCAGTTGACCAGTAGTGAGTTCAATACCAACAGAGTAACTCTATATCAAAATGCTTTCACATCAAATCTCTTTCTCACATTTCTTCTTTCCCTCTTCCCTTTCCGTTTTTATGTTTATGTTTTCTTTCTTTCCTCCTTCCTTCCTTCCTTCTCTTTCCTTCCTTCCTTCCTTTCCTCTTTCCCTCCCTCCCTCCTTCCTTCTCTAGCTCCTTTCTTCCTTCCATCTGTCTGTCTTTCCTCCAGTGCTTGAACTCTTGCCATGGGATGTTTTTCAGAGTATTCATGCTCAAAACTACCACTCTACCACTTGAGCCACAGCTCCAATTACAGCTTTTTGGGTGCTTAATGGTGATAAAGAATCTTACTGAGTTTCCTGTACATCATTACATCGAAGTTCCATCCTCAAATCTCAACTGCTTAAATCGCTTGGATTACAGGTGTAATATATGATTACCAGCATTATGTTCTGCATTCTTGACAGGTCATAGCACTCTGGCTCTCTGCTACTCATTCAAGACATAATGGAGAATAGAGACTCAGCCCAACCAATTCACTTTGTGCAAGAGGGTCTAATCCAAACCTCAATCTCCTCAATCTCACAAACTTCTTGAGCATTTGATCTGTGTCAAGAACAGTGCTCCTCCACTGATATGATAAGGTCTGGGAAAGATCAGCTGGAGGAGGGAGAAGAGAAATGAAATGGAGATGATAAACTATTTCTGAATCTTTTATATTTGAAGAATTGCTAGCAGCCTAGTGCCAGTGTCAGGCATGGAGTGACCATAACAAAGCCCGTTGTATTATTAGTGCATGCTAAATAGTAAATAACATTTAATTAGAAATGAGCAGCAATAGGCACTCAGAAATGAAAGGCTGTGTTAGGTCCACAATTCCATGATGATTTGCATATCATTTCAAAGATCAACAACTGGTCCTTGATATTTCCTTTTTTTCAGTTTAGCTCTTATTTTCTCCATTTCTCCCTTGTTTATTAAATATATGTTTTATTGTTAAGATACTGTACAAAGTGGTTACAGTTACATGATTAAGGTAATGAGTATTTTCCTATGGAGCATTGTTCCCCCCTTTTTTTTTAATGTTTTTTATTGTAAAAATACTGTACAGAGTAGTTACATTTACATGAGTAAGGTAAAGTGTACATTTCCCTTCTAGGATTTTGCCTCCTGCTTTGTTTTTGCCTAACCATCCCTTCTTTGTCCACATCCCCAAGTACTCCCCCAACAATGCCAAAGTTGTAAATTCGTTTTCAATATAGTGTCTTGTACATCTCCTGGCTAAAATGGGGCAACTGTATCCCTATTTAAGCAGTTTGTTTTTTCCTTGCCCTCCCCAAATTAGGAAAATGTATATACAAGATGCAGGGCACCAAATCCAATACATTGAAAACAGGGGTTATACCATGCGGGTGGAACATACCAAAGAAAGAAAAAAATTACATGGTCATTATAAACGCCCCAATCTTGGCGTTCATTTCACTTAACATCAACTTATATGGTCATAGTACCTAGCTTTTGACCTTTTCTGCTTGTCCTAGACAAACAGTAGGTATTACAAATAATGGAAACCATGGGTAAACATTTTCTTTAAATATAAAAAATGTGATTGAGGAGAGGGGAACATGGGTATTCTCAAGATGAAGTCTGTAATAGATTAGAAAATACAGTCAGAGATGTATGGAGGGGCAGTGGGTGTTTCTTCTAAGGAGAAGTATGGTTAACGTTGCCCTGGAACTCTGCGTGAAGGTGCATGTGTGTTCCTGCCATGTTACTGTAGATCACTCCACTGGCTTGCATGGACTGAAGGGTAGGAAGGAGAGATGGGGAATTTCTCTAACTAACAGACTCACCTGTCACATTAGAAATCTCATTCTCTGGGCAAGGAGTGCAATCAAAACAACAGGTAGCATTTCCCTCCAGAGAGGCTTTCTTGAATCCAGGACCACAGCTCTCACTGCACACAGACTGAGGAGTCTGAGAATATTCATATGAAAGTTAGTGACATTTTATCCTTTCAATTGACATCTGAGAAACTCCAGTGATTTAGGGGAAATGATAATAAAAACACATAATCTTTATATGCACACAGCAAATGAATTTACTGAACCTTCTTACAGTTTCATCTGACATGAGCTGAAGAATATGTGGGGCCTCAACACCCAGCACTCATACTATCGGGAAGTCATGGAGCCTTGAAGTGTTGGATGTTAACTCTATGAAATTAGGAAATGGAAGTTAATCCTGCATCCTATTCTTGAATTATGTGATCTGTTTACAGATGAATAAGAGCATGAGAGGAAAATCACTCAGGGAAATTTCAAACCCACACTCTAAAGCATGGCTGATTGCTGTAGAGGTGCTACTGTACCCAGGGACATTCACATCTCTCTTGGCTTCCTAGCTGTCATGAAGTGGGTGAATTTTACTGGCAGATGCTCATTTCATTACATCCTGTCTCACTAGACTAAGAAGCAACTCTCTATCCAACCATGGTTTGAAATCTCCAGGCAGAAGCAAAGCAAGCCCTTCTGCCTTCTCATTTGATTCCCTCAGATATTTTGTCACAGTGCTGGAATGATGATTCACAGGTGTCATTTAACTTTTATGATATTCACTATGCAAACATAGAACAACATTTTGATCATGATATGTTCCCCTGTTCCTTCCATGAATCTGTTAGTAAGAAACTTCCAGAAACAGAAAGTTTTGAAATGTACACCAATGAGCCATAGTTTCATTGAGCTAACTTTAAAACAGGATAAGCTTACTGCTCATTTATATATAGATCATGCCATTATGGTTAGAAACGGCTGACCCTGGGGGAGAAATAAGGATGTGGTGACATTGCCTAGAAGCATTGTGATCATAACCTGACTTAGGGAATTGTAAGGTCTTTCTACAGCTACTTCCTAAAAGCAATACATTTTTTTAAAAAGAGAGAGTAACAAAAGTAGAAATGACCCACCTTGGTAATTCCTATGGGCCACTCTATCAGATTTTCAAACAAAACCAGTTGTTGACTATGTGGCCTAGATGGAGAAAACTTGCCAACTTTCACCTTTTGTCCCAGACCTTCTGGAGAATTCCAAAAGCTCTTAATGTCATACTCTGCCTCCAATTTCCTTTCCTCATTCAAAACCACTTGGTCTCCAACAGGATTGGTAAATTGGATCTTCTTCAAAAAGGGATGCAGCTAAAAGGGACACATTATAGTATGGTGAAGTGCTTCCCAGTGTTATCACAGAACCCCAGAACAATGGATTACTCTTCATTCCTATCCCCTGATTCACACACAGCACAAGAATCCAACCAACTGTATCAAATGCAGGCCCACAGCAGACTAAACTGTTACCAAGTTCTAAAACCTGGGTATCCAGGATCGGTTGCAGAAACTCAATTTCAAGGGAATGAAACTCTAGCCACATCCAACAAAATAATGAATTATCATATGATAGACCCCAACAGACTCTCTAAATTGCATTCCAATCACTTGTTTTGTGATTCTGATAAGAGAATCAGTCTGAAATATAGGTAAATAATAAACTTACTAGAATCATAGAATATTTGTGACAGCTATGAAAGATTACCTAAGCAAGACTTTGTTCTCTGTGTGTGTGTGTGTGTGTGTGTGTGTGTGTGTGTGTGTGTGTGTGTGTGTGTATGCCTGCCCTGTGGTGTGTTCATGCCTGCCCTGTGGTGTGTTCTCACAGTTTAGGTGCTCAACTCGTTTTTTTTTTTTTTTTTCTTTTCAAAGTAATCATTCGGTCCATTGAGCCACAGCTCCCCCTCTGTCTTTTTGTTGGTTAATTGTAGTCATGAGTGAGCCACAGGTGTGAACCACTTGTGTGTAGGCAATATTAGGTTTTCAAGAACTAGTCACTCTTAGAGGAGATCTTCACTAGCCATACAACAGACAAGGGTCTCATATCTAAAATATACTTGGAACTCAAAAATTAAATGCCCCAATAAGAAATTCTCAAAGAAGCAATTGCCCAATAAATAAGTAGGCTAAAGCCTTAAAGAGAAACTTCTCTGAAGAGGAAAGAAGGATGGCCAATAGACACATGAAGAAATGCTCAACCTCCCTATCCTTAAAAGAAATGCAAATCAAAACAATATTGTGATATCACCTCACTCCAGTTAGAATGGCTAAAATCAAGAACTTTAATAACAACCGATGCTGAGGGGATGTGGACAGAAGGGAACCTTACTGCATTGTTGGTGGGAGTGTAAATATGTTCAAACACTTTGGAAAGTAGTATGGATGTTCCTCAAAAGACTCCACGTAGAGCTCCCCTATTACCCAGCAATCTCACTTTTGGGCATTAACCCAAATGTTTACAAACAGGACCACACTAAAGCTACTAGCATGACTATGCTTATTGCAGCATTATTTATTATAGTTAAGATGTGGAACCTACCCATATGCCCATAGTAGATAAATAGATCAAGAAAAAGTGTTATATATACAAAATGGAACTCTATGCCTCCATCAGAAAGAATGACATTGCACAATTTGTTAGGAAATGGAAAGGCTTGGAAAAAATTATATTAAGTAGAGTAATCCAGGCCCAAAGAAACATAGGTCCCATGGATTCCCTTATTTCCAACATCTAGTATATGTCTGAGTCAAGCAGAAAAGTTCAGATAAGGTGATGTAAGGGAAATGAACCCTAAGATATATATTCAAATGTTTTTTTTCTTTCATGTGATTGTTTCTAACACATTTATAAGTTTATTTCTTTGTTGCTTTGTATGTCCCTCCCCCACAGTATAACCCCTGTATTTGATGTCGGTATAATTTGTGGAGGGGAAGGGGAAAAAGAAATCGTTTAAATAGGCATACAGGTGAACCAATTGCAACAATGGGATGTAGAAGTCGTTATGGAAGGGATGGGAAGGGGAAACAAAGGAGGAGACTACAATGCTTGGTAAGAAATGTGCTCATTATCTTGCCCATGTAATTGTAACCCCTCTGTAAAATATTTTCACAATAAAAAAACTAGTCACCCTTAATCTGTTATTTTAAAAAGGTACAAGGAGAATTTGAATATATCCTATTGAAAAGGGGACGGTTTTTTCCAAACATAGTGAGGATGGGGACAGAAGACACAACATTCCCTTGTCACGGATGCAGCGTTCTTCAAGAACATTGTCTTCACAGCTCTATCGTCACTTCATGGAGAGCACAACAGACTCTCTTGTATTTGCCAAAATGGTGCCAGACAACCCAGTTGCATCTGCTATGAAAGCTTATATAGAAGTTCTGCATGCCTAGAGTAGGTCACCCAAAAGCAAAGCCATTACCTGTGAAGAGAGAAATGCCGTGAGTTGCCCATTGTGCACTCTTGTCTCTTCCATGTAATGAAGAAACATCTGGTGGAGGGCATGGGCCACAGCATACACAGCATTGTAGATGTTGTAACTCTCATCTGACATGGTCATGTCAAAAATGTGCCTCAGCAACCAATGCAGTGTGGCATTGTATGAACAGTGCCCCAAGTCTCTGCAGTCAGACTTAATCAGTAGGCTATAAAAAGACTGAATCCATGACCTGGGAAGGGAGTTATTTGCTGAGTTCTTGGAGAAGGACTCTGTCAGAATAAAATTGGTGAACCCAGCAGTGTTTCTATGATGGTGAGAGAAGATAAGAGGTGCATGGAAAGAGTCAATCAGAAAATGTCTTTTAGCAATAGTCACATCATCATAGGGTGAGTTCAGGACCCAGACTTTGCCTGTAATTAAAAAGTGCCTACATTTAAGAATAAAGCTTAGTAGAAATTTACTGTCCCCATAAATGATAATCACATTGGTTGATAAGTCCATTAGCTGGCGCTGCATCGATAGATCATCTGATATATCTGAAAGGACATTGTAAGTGATCATGTTCTCAAAGGCAAAGCAGACTCTACTCTTGCCCATCTCTTCCCTCAATTCTGAGAGGAACCACATTCCATAGTTTTCTTCGGTGATGAATAGTGCCACCCTGTTCCAGCTGAAATGAAGCATCAAGGAGACCATGGCCAGGGCTAGACCTGAGTCCTTGGCAGCCATCTGATAGACAATACCAAACTTTCCATGGTCACTCAGGAGAGGATCAAAAGCCCCAAAGATGAACTACAAGGAACAAATGGAAACAACATCAGGAAGAGGATGGTCATAGGCAAATCTCAGTCCTGATGTGAATGAAACAACAACTGGTAGTACAGTGGTGGGAACAAAAGTTTGCTTATCCCATTTGCAAAGTCATCTCCCATGTTCTGAAGTCTTTGTAGACATGTACAGATAAGGCTCAGAGTTTTGGATCATCCTTTCCTCTCAACACCCCTCCTTCTATTTGCAGCAATAAAAATGTGTATGTCCCACCCACTTTTGGAGGCTTCTCCCTGTGAGATTATGCATTTAGAAGGGTTTGTGATACCACCTCCTCTTCAGCCTGTTGAGGGCAGGGTCACTGTGGATATGGCTTCACATCTGCCCACCCCTCCCAGCCTCACCTGTGGAAGTTTGTAGAGGTCCAGCAGTGTCCCTATTGGGACAAATGTGCTTGAGGTTCCTGTGAGTGCCGCTATAGCTTTGCTGTCTCTTCTGCAGGTGTAATTAGGGATGTTTTTATTCTTCCCAGACAGCCAGGTGAGTGGATCCTCTAACAGATCAGTACCTGAATAATGCACAGTATAGATCTCAAACCCCAGAGTCATGTTGGGTAGCAGATGGGGATTCTTGTTGATCTCCTCCACAGCCAGCACCAGGGTGAGAAGTAATTGGTATTTCTTTAAGTTGATCCTGCACAGAAATCACAAAATTTGGGTAGGTATACAAGTATTACAAATGATTAACTGCAAATCTCATGACTTTGTTGAATCAAATGTTGATTTCTACACACAGTAATATGTATAGATCCAACCAGGTGGCATTCTAATTTGGAGTCTAAGAAAAGTTCTTAGAATTGGGAGAGTTCCTGAACAGGTTTTGATCAGCATACATGAGATGACTTTTCTTCTGAGATTGCAGAGAGACAGAGAGAGAGAGAGAGAGAGAGAGGCGGGGGGGGGGGAATGAGCCAGCTGGCTTTTCCTCTCTGCCCCATATGGATAAGTGAAAAACACTGCTGTGTGCCGTGACATAGGAGCAGGCCCAGCTTACATCCCAAATCATTTAGTACCTTAAATAAGCTGTGCATATGGAAAAAATCTTAAGAAATTCAATTCCAATTGGGAGCAGATTGTCACCTGAGTTCAGCCAGTATGAACAGAGAGGCAGGGCCTGCTGTGTTAGGAGTAAATTGGAAAGCAGTCTGCTTTGTGTCTGTGCTCGCTTGCTACACCTTTGCCAATGGTGCATCCTTCTGCAAAGAAGTGAATCTTGCCTTGTGAGGAAAGTAAAGAAATCACAGAAGTACAAAATCCATTTGATGTGGTAGAGGCACACTAAGCTGACTCAGAGTATCTCATCATTCAAGGGGATTCCTAGAAGCAGAGCAAGATGACAGCCAAGGAAGCTATAACATAAAGATTGCCTCTCCCAACAATGAACAGAAGAGAGTAAGGGAGTGTGGACTGGAAGATACTTCTCTAGTAGAACAAACAACAGGAAAGGATGTGTGAGAAAAAGGGGAAGAAGCCATCTCCATTTTCCTCCCCATTAACAGCATTAGTAGCTCATTATGGACTGAAACCCTCCGACATTGCAGGGAGGGAGAGAATTAAAGTTAAATCTCAGCACCATCCCCATACACTGAGACCAGTGCTGGGGATGTGCTTATAGTTTCTACTCTTGGGTCCAACCTTTAGATTGTGCCTCTAGAACTGGTTTAGGACAGAGAAGGAAGACACTGCCTCAACCTCCCTCCTCCATTCTCGTGAACGACAGCAGCTGTGGGATACAACCTTATAGTGAGCAGGGCAGAAGATTTGGTCACAGTTTTTCTTAGAACCCTTTGTCAGGCATGTCATGATTGGACCAATTATCCAGAATAATCTAGAGGCACTGTTTGGTGCTAGCACCACAGCTTCCATTAGAATCTTTCAGGAGGTTTTGGAAAGTAGCTGAGGCAGAACCAAATGCCATTTGCATCAGTTTCCACCCTGAGTGGAGTAGGGTGACACCTGTCTTCTTGCTTAGCGTTGTGAAGCCACTGTGGCTATGTGACTCTGTTGTTATCTGGCTCAGTCCAGTCTCGTTGCACAGTGAATAATTTCAGGGACCACTGCCCTAGAAGGACAGTGCTCAAGATGGCACCAGGCAGGAACTGAAGGCTCTCTAGGAATCCAGTGTGCATTAGTCTACATCAGCATAAGCTAGATTGTGGCTTAAGTGTATCCACATGACAATTTGGGCTTTGGGGATGCTAGATAGCCTGAGTAGATGGTGATGTTCACCAAGATGGTCCTGTGGCTTGCTTTTATTTTTTGTTTGTTGTGGGGCTTGAACTCTAGGCCTGGCATCTGACCCTAAAATCTTCACCTTAAGACTAGCTCTCTAGCACATGAGGCACAGAGCCACATCTGGCTTTTTTTTTGCTTTACTGGAGATAAAAGTCTCACAGTCTTTTCTGCCTGGGATGGCATTGAACCCCGGTCCACAGATCTCAGCCTCCTAAGTAGCTAGAATTCTAGGCGTCAGCCACCTATGCCCAGCTTGTGGCTTCCTTTACAAAATTTACCATGCTGCTGTAGCATTGCATGGTTTTCCATCCCAATTATAATAGGTAAGACAGGGAAGTAAGATGGTGATATTTTCCCACAGCTTAGTTTGGGCTAGGTAATAGCATTAGAACTGTGCCATTACCATATAGCCAGGACAGCCTCTGGCAGACTTTGTAATAACCTCAATACCTGAGAAAGTCATCTACAACCAGACAATCTGAATTCTATATTAGCTATCACTAATTGTATATTGTTGTGGGCATCTTGGCTCATGAGCACACCTCTACCACATTCAAGCTGAGTCAGTCTTAGTCCTCACCCAGCACTGTATTGGTCTTGATCTCAGTAGACTGAGGATGCTGTACTCAGGCAGGATAGACTAAGGAAAATGAGGCCTGGTTAATGCATTCCAGGAATTCAAAAACTCAAAGCTTAAAGCTTGTCCATCTACTTCCCTTAATATTAAGGTAATGAAGTCATTTAGGGGAAAATGGAATAGAACAGATTAGTAAAAAATGAGGTCTGGGAAGCTCACAGTAAACAGAGAGCTATTCATCCATCTAAATAACTTAATATTAAGGGACCAAAGTCATTGAGCACAAAAAGAAGCTGGATAAATTAAGGAAAAAAATGAGTTCTAGAGAAGGCAACTCAGAAACATGTGATTTAGAAACACAGGGCTAGTATCTTTACTTCAAAGAGAGGCAACAGGTTGCATTGCTTCCTGAGAGATGCATTTCTCATCATATGAATTATCAGTTGTCTTGTAGGGCAAATGCCTTCCCCCCAAAATGCTCCCCCAAAACATATGCAACATCCTACGCCAAATATAGACAACAGCACACCTTCCTTCCCTGTCATCTGGAAAGAATGGCCAAAACATACAGAAACTCAGAAAGTGTAACACCAGGAGTGATTAGTGCAAAGATGACAAACTGATGTTTGTGTAACTTTGAAGTCAGACGTCCTGCCTTTACCATCTGTATACCCCTGGCAGCCCAAGAGCTGTGTGTCTCTCCTCAGTTAGAGTGTGTCTTTGCCTTTTTGTTTCCTGTTTGTCTACCTGCTTGTTTGTTTTCTTCCTTACTCAGGAAAGCTCTGCCACATTTTCTTACTGTTGTGACTTGTCTAGAATTTCTTCTTCTGTGATCAGAGTCCAAGATCCCAACTGAAGAGTCCCTACTTTTAGAGGGAAACTTCATTAACCTTCATCAGTTTTGGTGACCCTGTTGGTTAGTATTCCAGGTGTAATAGAGTTCTGGTGGCCACAGCTGTGTCTAAGGCCTGTTCCAGCACACAGATCTTGCTACTGCTAGGCAGAATCCCTGTGGATGAGGCATATGGGCCTCCTGTGCACCCAGGAGAAGGCATATTTGGACCCATGACTCATTGGGGTTCTCGTGAGGTTTTTTGGACCACAGAGTATTTGTCACCAAAATTGCTTTTGGTTTTCTCTGCTGCTGAAGTGGTTTATTGCCTACAGCTGACTTCTCACAGTCCCTGAGCTCCCTCTAGTGTTGACATTGTGGAAGTCACTACAGACTCAGGAACACTGAAGCCTGCATGGAATTTCTGGAAAGACAGGCACAGACTGGTATAATTCGGAGACATTTGAAAGGCCAGATGGTATCACATACCAATATGAATCAAGAATGTTCCAGAACGACGAGTTCTCCTAGCATTCAATATAATCATTTTAGGGAAATTCTCATAGAGAGAATCTCAACTTCATGGATGTTTGCTGATGTCATTGTGTGCAATGTAACTGAGGCTTGACATCTAGAATATCAGTAATACTAAATATGAACTGGGAACTGGTGGCTCAGGCCTGCAATTATAACTACTAAGAAGGATGATATAGGAGAATTTTGTATTGTATTCACTTTCGGCAGTAATGTCTGTGACACATTTTTTGTGCAACTCCACAGAAACTGTTGCAGAGCTGTAGGTCAAGTGGTAGAGTGCCAACCAGGACAGAAAAAATGCCAAGGAACAGCCATAAGGACTTGAGATGATGCCTGAGTACCAGAGTGTGTGTGGACATGCACACACACACACACACACACACACACACACACACACACACACACAGCTCAATTTGAGAATGGACAGTGAAGAGGATAGCTCTGACATCTCCCACCTCCCATGGCGGTACGTTTCTAATGCTGGGTTTACACATGAGCCCCATCTTTCTCACTCACTTCCTCACCACACTAATTTGGGTTCAGTATCTCTCATAAGTCTCTCATGGAATAAAGTATTCCTCTCCTGAACAAACCCCATACAGGGTGTTTCCACACAACTTGTCTGAGAAGATTCATTCATGACTTCCCTAGTTTACAGTGAATTGTATAGATCTGAAAGTAGTGAGCTCACCTGGGTCAAATGCATGAATGAAAGTGTGTATAAAACATATGAAAAAGCCAGGCACCTTTGCTCACACCTGTCATCCTATCTATTCAGGAGGCTGAGATCTGAGGAACAGGGTTCAAAGCCAACGAGGGCAGAAGAGTCCATGAGACTCTTATCTCCAATAAACCACTAGAAAATTGGTAATGGCACTGTGTTGCCAGCAATCGAACACTTGTCTTAAGCTGAATTGCACAGGGACAGCATCCAAGCCCAGAGTTCAAGACCCATTACTGACAATATATATGAAAAAAAAACATTCAAATCTAGTTTAGGAAGTTATTGGCAGGGAACAATAAATAAGGAATGGAAACAGAGTTTCTGGGAATGACATAGGAGACAGGCCAAGACATGGATAGCAGGACAGAAGCTTACTTACATTAGTTAAGGAGAAAAAATCAAATCTGTCATGCATCTCTTATTACTGATCTGTCCAGCAGCTCCCCATTCCCAGCTTTGCTGACATGAAATAACCCCAGAAACAGAAACTGCAGGTCTATCCTAAGAAACATTGCCCTGAAAGAGGTCCAAACATTGGTCCTGTTTTAAGAAGTATAAAGAGCAGAATGGATTGAAGATTCCCTGGCCTTTGTCCTATGGATGGGGACATTGCACTTTAGTGTCTTTGTATGGACTCTTGGTCACCCCAGTGACCCTGAGTAACAGTGATGAGTGGAGGAGTCACAGTGATGGTGGGGTGGTCGGGACATCTCTGGAAAGGGGAGTGGAGTGGAAGACAGAAAGCAAAATCTGTACACTTGGAAGAAAGAAAAATATTCATTGGGAACACCTGAAATGAAGTAGAGCTGTTGTAATGAGGGCAGTGTAGAAGATGCAGAGCACATAAGTGATTGTGTCCAAACTTTCCCCATATCTGACTGTAACACAAAGAGAAAATTCAAAATTTAAGAAAATCCAAGAAATCACTTACTGAATGTTCTGTTGCTGCAGGGTAGGGTCATTCAAGCCTTGAACGACCAATTCCCAAGAATAGAGGGAGTAAAATTCAGCAATGACCACATCTCCTTTGCTGCATGCTACGGATTTCTCTGTGCAAATGTGTCTGCCATCTTCAGAGAAAGTGATCAGGAGAGGATGCTGGAGAAGAAGCAGTGTCAGAGCCACAGGGAACATTGCTGCTGCTTTGACATGGAGCTGTGTTTCTGGATGCTGACTGTGCCTGCAGTGTCAGGTGGGCGTCTAAATGGATCTTCAGTTTTTGTGGCTTCTTGATACATGGAAGGCTTCCACTGTCCTAGAGGAATACAGAGCCCATTCTGCCCACTGGCTCTGCATCTAGGGCCCAGATTCAAGGTCAAAACAGAAGTTAGAAAACATGTGTACCATTTTCCTCTCCACACCCTCAGGACCATGATTTCATCCAAGACAGTAGATAATGAAACTCCAGGGATGGATTCCTCTCTTGTTGAGTTGTTCACAAACTTGTGTGAAAGCAAAAAGTTGAAAACAAAAAAAGCACAACCAATCAAGGGTCACTAAGGATGATGGGAATGGATGACAGCAGTGGATGCCATGTGAAGGTCAAATGATCATAGAGCGCCATGGCCAGCAAAGGCCCAGTCAGAGTTCTTGGAGCACCATCAAAGATGAGGATGGGCAGGCTCACAACCTAGGCATAAGGGAGCCACAGAAGTTATGTGAAATGACCCATTCAGGTTTTTATACCAACTGCACATGCATAAGAATTCAGAAGAGCTCAATGTATTTATTTACTGCTGCAGGTATTACCAACAGTGTCCCGGAATTCTACCATTACAGATAAATACTTCAAGGTCAATGCACTTTTCCAATTAGACATTTGCACTCTGAACCTTGAACTTCTTCAGTGCTTGCATGTTGTTGACCATCAGACTGCACCTATCAATATATTGGCAGTCCACTGTTAGACAGAGATGTTCCATGATCTATGACTTTCTGGGAACATAGCAGGCCTGCACACTGAGGATCCTGGTAGATGTGGGTGTATGGATGGGTCTTGCTGTGCTGTGTCCACATCATGTCCTGAGTGCTCCGGGAATTCTTGTTCCCACTTTGACAACCGCGTGGTGCCAGCTCTGTCCATGTCTCCCTACCTGTCTTCTCTATTAGTTCCTCATACTAGAAGTGATACCAAGGTCACAGCATAGGGTCCTGCTCTGCATAGACTTCACCATGGTGGCTGGTTCTGTGAACTGGCTGCATATATTTATGAGGAAGGTCTTGGCAAATGTAAATTGGAAAAGTAAGGATGCAAATGCTAGTTGGTGTTGGTAGCCAGCAAGACCTTGCAAGAGCATCAGTGCTGGGGCCTAGCCTGACTCGGGCTCTGAGGTACAAATCTTTGTTGCTTCTATACCCAGGATTATCGGTATGAGCAACCTGTGGCTGCCTCAGAGGACAAACTTTTATCCCATTCTCCTCATCTATTACTCTAACTATTTCTGTTCAGTCTGCCCAAGAGAACAGGCCCTCCCCACTTCCTCTTCACCTGCCTGAAACCAGTAATCACCTGTCAATCACCTGACTGGGAGTCAGCAAAGGACCCCACAATCTGAGGTCACTTCCTCATCCATGGAGGTCATTTCCTGGACCATCCTGGTCACACTTCCCTAGGACAGTGAGAAGTTCCCCAGACTCTGTGGTCACTTCCACATCCGCTGTGGTCCTGGCTTACCACAAGTCACTTTGTCTCTCTTTTTATTTTCTTCTTTTTCCTTTTCCTCTGTCCTCTCCATGGGCCTCCATCTCCTGAGGGTGGGCAATTTGCCTTTTCTGCCTGAACCGTGTATCAAGTTTCCTTGCTGGAGAAGCTAACAATTTCTACTTCATTGTCATTGGTGTCTACTCTAGTACTCTAAGCCTTCTTCTCCCTACATTTCAAAAATAAGAGAAAACTTGGGGATCTGTGTTGCCTCTATCTGTCTGTGTGCTTTCTTTCTGTATGTCTGTTTGTCTGTGTGTATTGTAAATGTGTTGTACGGACGAGTTACCATTATGTAAATCAGGTATTGAGTACATTTCTGTTTTTACAATGTTACCCAGTTTTTCCCTCCCTACCCCACCCACAGGTTGTATGCTTCATTTTTCAAATGGTGTCCAGTATATACCACTGCTGCATTTGTCAGGGTGATTAACTGAACACGATGTTCTCCACTTCCACCCATATTCCTGACTCAAACATATAATTGCATACTCAAGACTCCTTGTGTCTGTGTGACTCAATTTACTTTTTCCATTCATGTGTTGATTGGAACAGAGCCTGGTTCTGCAATCAGCTTCTAAGTAGTGTCATAAACATAGACATAACAAACACCCATACTAGTGTGTGTGTAATATGCATGTAATATTATATCTTTTGTCATATTATATTACCAATGGTGTTATAATATTCCTTTTGGTCACATCCCCATTAGTGTCTGTTATTATTAATTTTCTTGATAACTAATCAACTTATTTATTACCAATTATTTTATAATAAGCTTTATTTTATGAAACTCAAAATGTACTCATCTGCTACTTACTTGAACATTTTGTGGGTATAAAAATTGAAGATGGGAAGTGGTGCTGTGACTGAAGTGGTAGAGTGCTAGCCTTGAGCTGAAGAGCTGAGGGACAGTGCTAAGGCCCAGAGTTCAAGCCCCACAACACACCAAAAAAAAAAATGAAGACTGTTTTTGCTTTTGAAATCATTTTGTATCCAAATGAAACCAATTTGTTTCATCAATTCCCTTTCTCAAGACTTTCATTTACTACATAGCTAGCAAGATCAATAGAAAGCCCACGGATTGGGAGAAGATCTTTACTAGCCATACAACGGACAAGGGTCTCATATCTAAAATATACTTGGAACTCAAAAAATTAAACCCCCCAACAACAAATCCTCAAAGAAACAACTGCCCAATAAATAAGTGGGCGAAAGACTTAAAGAGAAACTTCTCTGAAGAAGAAAGAAGGATGGCCAATAGACACATGAAGAAATGTTCAACATCCCTAGCCATAAAAGAAATGCAAATCAAAACAACATTGAGATAGCACCTCACTCCAGTTAGAACGGCAAAAATCAAGAACTCTAACAACAACAGATGCTGGAGGGGATGTGGACAGAAAGGAACCTTACTTCATTGTTGGTGGGAATATAAACTTGTTCAACCACTTTGGAAAGCAGTATGGAGGTTCCTCAAAAGACTTCACATAGAGCTCCCCTATGACCCAGCAATCCCACTTTTGGGCATTTACCCTAATGTTTACAAACAAGACCACACTAAAGCTACCAGCACAACTATGTTTATTGCAGCATTATTTACCATAGCTAAGATACGGAACCAACCCAGATGCCCCTCAGTAGATGAATGGATAAAGAAAATGTGGTATATATACACAATGGAATTCTATGCCTCCATCAGAAAGAATGACATTGCCCCATTTGTTAGGAAATGGAAAAACTTGGAAAAAATTATATTAAGTGAAGTAAGCCAGGCCCAAAGAAACGTAGGTCCCATGGTTTCCCTTATTTGTAATATCTAGTATATGTATGAGTCAAGCGGAAAAGGTCAGATAATGTGATGTCAGGAAAATGAACCCTTAGATGTGTATTTTAATGTTTTTTTCTTTCATGCATGTGTTTCTAACACATTTATAAGATTATCTCTTTGTTGCTTTGTATGTCCCTCCCCCACAGTGTAACCCCTGCTTTCACTATATTTGATGTCAATATAACTTGTGGAGGAGATGGGGAAAAACCAGTTGTTTAAGGATATAGGTGGACCTGTTGCAACAATAAGAAGTACAAGTTGTCATGTCCAAAACGAGCTTTACAACGTTGGTACGGGGGGCGGAAGGGGGGGAAAGGGGGGGAAGGAGAAGGATTGGGATTAGGGGGGGAGGGGGGAAGCTGGGAAGGGATGTGAAGGGTAAACAAAGGAGGAGGCAGCAATGCTTGGTAAGAAATGTACGCATTATCCTGCCCATGTAACTGTAACTCCTCTGTACAGTATGTTCACAAATAAAATTAAATTAAATTAAAAGAAAAAAAGACTTTCATTTACTAACTTCCCTTGGTCATGAGATTTGAACTCTGGGTCTAGGTGCTGTCCCTCAGTTTTCAGCTCAAGGAGAATGCTCTATCCCTTGAGCCACAGCACTGCTTTTGGTTTTCTGGTGGTTAATTGGAGATAAGAGTCCTAAGGAGTTTCCTGCCTGGGCTGGTTTTGTACCCTGATTCTCAGATCTCAACCTCATGAGTAGCTAGGATTAGAGGTGTGAATCACTCTCACCTGGATTCCTTACTGAGTTTTTAAAAATTACATGTTTAATTAAATCTTTGAAAACATTTGATCTCAAAATGACATTTTTAAAGATGTAAAGTAGTAATCCTTAGACAAACTGGTTGGAAATTGATATTTCCCATTTGGTTTTAAAGCAGGGAGAACAGGAGAATCACATGTAGACTGACATTGCATGAAGAGTCCAAACTTAACAAACTTGAGGGATCTCAGACCATCTCTTGGTGTTTTCAAAATGCAGCTGATTGCATCACTTTACATATCACTCTTGTAACTTTCTTCAGGTAATATTTAAAGGAAAGCAACTTTTAGTTAAAAACACTCATATATTGGCCTTTTGGTGTGTAAAGAATTGAGTAATAATAATAATAATAATAAAAGAATTGAGCAATAGCTGGGAGTCACTGGCTCAAACCCATAATCATAGCTACTCAGGAGGCTGAGATTTGAGGATCATGGCTCAAAGCCAGCCTGGGCATAAAACTTCATGAGACTCTTAATCTCCAATAAGCCACTGAGAAAACTAGGAGTGGTGCTGTGGCTCAAGTGGTAGATTGCTTGCATTGAGCTGAAGAACTGAGGGACAGAGCCTAGGCCTAGAGTTCAAGGCCTGTGACCGACAAAAAAAAAAAATAGAAAAAAAAAGAATCCAGTAACATAAATTAGGTTTTACATTGAAGTAAATAACGAACCAAAGCCAGGAAAATTTAAACGTAGTTTCTACTTTTTTCTTTGACTCTTAAAGGAAACGACAATGGGAAAAATATGTATGTAGAGCAAACTGCACGTTATCTATCTGACCCATATCTATAAGAAAGTAGAAAATGTGAACACACACTGCAAGATTGTTTTGTCAAAGGATTCCGGGGGGGCGGGGAGGAAGAAGGCAAGTATGAGTTTGGATGAGTTAATATTGCCAAGAAGTGGCAAAATAAGAGAAGTAAAATAAGAAAACCATAAAACTCAAGGCAATATTCTTAGCTTTGGATGGTCTCAAAGCCAGTTAGAAAATTTCTACCTTCTATCCCTTTGGCTGGTGGAAGCTACCAGTCCATTGCCAGATCCTCCTGGGAACATATGCAGATACTTCTGGATCACAGTACCCAGTCTGGTTGGTCCATGAGCCATTCACCACCTGTTAGTGCAGGAGTGCGGCTTCTGCCTCTGGGAGCTTCCAGATCTACCCCTACCAGGCCAACCAACCTAGGGTGCAGGCCTCACCGGGTGCATCAAGCGGTCCCCAGACATGACAAGCAGCATGTCTAAGCTGCTTAGCTCCTGCACATGCTTTGGCACCTCTGGGGAAGACGGGGCACAGGGTCCTGCTCTGGAAGGGGAAGGATACTCCCAGCATGCCCTGGGGCATGGGGAAGTGAGCATCATAAGAAGGAGACCTGGGCCTTGAGCATGAGGGGCTGCATGTGGCTAGGGCCTTGTCCGTGTCTGAGGGTTTGTTCAGCAACACCAACTCAGGGCAGATCCTGAGCAGCAGGTCCAGGGAGCACGGGTGGGATCCATAGCCTATTCCTGCTATTCTGGCCCCTCTCCTGGTTGAGATGACTCACCTGCAACGTATGGGCATCTCTTTTCTTTTTTTCCTGCTCTGGCATATTTGGTTGGTTTTCTTTTTTTAAAAAATTTATAAGTTTTTTTTATTGTGAAAATTCCGTACAGAGGAGTTACAATTACATGAGCAAGGTAATGAGTACATTTCTCATCAAGCATTGTTGCCTCCTCCTTTGTTTCCCCTTCCCATCCCTGCCCTTCCATCTCCCCACCCTTCATCTCCCACCCTTGTTTGGCTTTCATTTAATATATTGGATATTTTTTCTCTCCCTGCATTTTTATTTCCTGGTATCTGCTGAGCCTTTGACATCATTGGCACTGCCCACAGTGGCATCCACAGACCATCGTGAGAAAAGACATCACTTGCTTTAAAAAAAATTAAAGACAGGATTGATGGTTTTCAGAGTTGGGTCCTGGGAAGAAACGGGAATAAAAAATTAATTTATGGAAAAAATCGTGTGTGTGTGTGTGTGTGTGTGTGTGTATGTGTGTGTGTGTGTGTGTGTGTGTGTGTGTGTGTGTGTGTGTATACGAGCCCTGGAAATCAGGACCCAAACTCCCTTTCTTGGCTTTGTAATTCACAAGTGGCATTTTACCATTTGAGAAATATCTCCCGTCCTGTATTTTTACTTGTAAGTTAAAGATGGAGTCTCATACACTTTTCTGTCCAGGCTAATTTTGAACTGTGATCCTCAGATCCAAGCCTTCTAAAGTAGCCATTAGTGTCTGACTTGAAAAAAATTGCGTGTATAATATTGAAATTAATAATGAATTTAATAATAGACTTCCACAAGAATGTGAAAAGTTAATACAGATGACTCAAGGTTTAGTCAGTATTTTAAAACAGTAACACTTTTTCTTTATTGAGAATAATTACATAAATTTCACAGTATTGTGGCATAGTGATACTTAGCTGAAGTCACTAACATATTTCAACCTTCACAATGCATCTTGTCATTGTCTTCATCTACAAAGCTTATGAACTCTGCAGACTTTAACAATAAAACTGTTTCTCCCAAATCAGGTGATATGTTCATTTCTTTTCTTTTGCTCAGGATCAGCTGTTTCCACTTTCTCTCGCTTTCCCTCCCTCCCATCACCAGCCTTGAGTTGCTTAGTTCACTTTCATCAATGACCAGTGCAGCTGATGGGCCCCTCTGTTGTATTTTTTCACCCATTTTCCTGTAGTTCTTTGACCTCCTCTTAGCTTCCCTTAGATGTGCATGCTTATACACCATATATGCGGTCCAGTATATAGAGTCATCTAGAAACTATATAACAAATTAGGAAGCCAACCTTTGTTTCTTGTGTCTTGTTTACTTTGTCATATCTCATTGTAAAACAGTAACACTTTTAAGATGTGTAATTTAGTCCAATCAAGAGGTGATTGAACACCACTGGATCTGAAAAATGTAAGTAGAAAATAAAGCAGTGGAAGAAAGGACACACTATCTTTTGCCAGCATGGCTAAAGAGATCCCCTCAAAAATCTAGTGTTTCTGTTGTTCTCTTTTCTCCTCTTCTTCCATTTCTATTTGGGTGTCCTTAGAGATTTGGTCCAATATGATGCACAAATTGACTCATTGTGAGCTCTGGGCATTGATTTTACCAAGGTCCTATGGAAGTCAATGATGAGCCCATCCTTCCTCTCCTTTACTTGAGTAAAGGAGAGACAGGTATAGGTTCCACGCTTGTATCCTCTGACACAGAGGCTGGCAATGGCCAGCTTCTGGTTCGTCAGTCCTGAGGATGGAGCCTGAGCTTTCCTTGGGCTCCAAGCTTGAAAAGATCTTTGGTTCTTTACCCCTTGGTTGTATTTAAAGGCAGAAGCAGCTCTACCTAGTAAGTAATGATGTAATTGATACCTTAAGAGTCTTGGAAATATCACCTATTAATCATACATAAGAACATAATTGCTTTGGGTAGCCAGCAAAAATTATTTCACACTTGTATTCACAGTTCACCAAGATTTATACGTCCTTAGTTGTGTTTGGTTAGCAGAATGGGTAACCAATGTTTTTTTTCTACCTACACTGTACTGGCTCTGTTTCCTGTTGAAGTCTTCCCCTACCTACAATACATGTATTATTCTAAACTCTTTCTGAGTACTGAAAAGGAACTGTTGCAACAATATTAAAGGCCTGGACCTCATTTATCAAAACAGCATCAATGGTGGGGTGCTGGAGGCTTATACCTGTAATCCTAGCTACTCACAGGCTGAGATCTGAGGATTGTGGTTCAGTGCCAGCCCAGGCAGGAAAGTCTCTGAAACTATCTCCAATTAATCACCAGAAAACCAGAAGTGGTGCTATGGCTTAAGTAGTAGAGCACTCTCCTTCAGCTGAAGAGCTCAGGGACAGCACCCAAGTCCAGAGTTCAAGTCCCAAGACTGACAAAAAAATAACAGCATCAATGATATTATTCAGAACTTCCTATTTTTTCCAAGCTATGATCTCTGTCTTCTGTTTGTTCTTTTTATTTCATATGCTTCAGCTTTCTGTACTTCACAGTGAATTTCCATCTTGGCCACCTAAAGAAATGAAAGTGATCTGATGTTCTTATGGGTTTTGTTTTTTTGGTGCTGGTTCTGATAGTTGAAGCCAGGGTCTGGGTGTTGTTTCTGAGCATTGTTTTTGTGAATACTTGAACCATGTATACATTCTGACTTTTGTTGGTTTACTGGAGATAAAAGAATCATGAACTTTCCTTCCCAGGATGGCTTGGAACCATGATCCTCACATATCAGCTCTCTGAGGAGCTAAGTTTACAGGCCTAAGGCACTGGCACTCAGCTAAGTGTGAGCAATTTTAATGTAACTTGTGACTGTTTAAACACAAACTGTTACAACTGTGTTTGCATTGGGCTTGCTGCTAATGGGCAAAAGACATGAGATCAGAATCATTCTGGTACGTTGTCCTCTTTGACAAGGTAAACATTCATTTTATTTTCCTGAGAATCCAAGAACAGGTGCCTTATACCTTAGACTCTTTCCTTAGAAATGACTTAATACTAACTTCCTTTACTATTGGAGTATGATGAATGTATAAGGGCAACTTCCTATTAATTATTAGCCCCAAATTGTAAGTTTATACTCAATAAAGGGCAAAAAATTATTGGATTTGAAGTTTTCATTTCTCTAGTGGGCAAGTGATCAGATATTTCATACAGTTTGTTGTAGACATTTGACATGGCAGTCTAACACCCATTTACTTTATTAACTTAAGCTGTTTTGGTTCTCCTTGAAGTTTTATTGTAGTAAAATTCATCAACTCCTCTGCGTTGAATACATAGTTGTCCAACAATAGCAGCCATTACACAAGCACCTACAGATCAGTGAGCACTCTCTTCTTTGATTCATTGTAAATGGAATAATCTGTTGGGCTTCCAGACATTTCTATCTTTGTGCAGATACTTTTCTGTTTTCCAGCAATGGCCCAGCAGAATTAGAGGCAACACTGTGTGGGTGACATCTCTCCACTGAGCCACAGCTACAGCATTGAATGATGTCAAGATCTCTGCACTCAGAGGTATGAGCTTGCTTGTCCTTTGGACTCCTGACTGTATAATGCAGTGGTGGCCTGACAATATTCCCACTTCAAGCTCCTGAACACTTTTGATGTCTTAAGGGACTCTTCTGAATCATTCTTGTTCTCATAGAATTGTAAAGAACACTGAAAGTTATGGAGTCTGTCGTATCTAATGTTTTTGTCCTCTCTTTCGGGTTCTTTTTCTCTTCTTATAAATGATTCCATTTCTCCATCCTGAACAATACATTAAAAAAAGGAGAGAATGGAGATGTATAAATGACCCACCTTGGTAATTCCCGTGGGCCACTTTATCAGATTTTCAAACAAAATCAGTTGTTGGCCATGTGGCATAGTTGGAGAAAACTGGTCAACTTTCACCCTTTGTCCTAGACCTTCTGGAAATTTCCAAAAGCTCATAATGTCATACTCTGCCTCCAATTTCCTTTCTTCATTCAAAATCACTTGGTCTTCAACAAGATTGGTAAATTTGATCTTCTTCAAAAAGGGATGCAGCTAAAAGGGTCACATTACAGTATGGTAAAGTGCTTCGCAGAGTTATCACAGGACCCCAGAACAATGGATGCACACAGATTTTCCTTCCTTCCCACCACATGATTCACATACATCACAGGAATCCAATCAACTGTATCAAATTCAGACCCACAGTGGACTAACTTGTTAAGAAGTTTCTAAAACCTGGTTATCCAAAATGGGATGGAGAAACTCAATTTCAAGGGAATGAAACTCTAGCCACATCCAATTAAGTATCATTATTTGGTTAGAATTCATATTAGAATTCATTTTATATGACAGTCTTCCATCATCTCTTTATAATGAATTCCTATCACTTATTTTATGATTGTGATCAGAGTCAGTCTGAAAACTAGATAAACTATAAACTAAGCAAAATCATAAAATACTTATGACAACTATGAAAGATTACCTTAAGCAAGACTTAGTTCATGGTGTGTATGTGTTTGTGTGTGTGTGTGTGTGTGTGTGTGTGTGTGTGTGTGTGTGTGTGTGTGTGTGTGTGCCTACCCTGTGCCTCAACCAAAGGGCCAAGGCACTTAACTTAACGTGTTTTTCTTTTTCTTTCAAAGTAAGCATTCCATCCATTGAGCCCCAATTCCACCTCTATCTATTTGGTGGTTAATTGTAGTCAGGAGTAAACCACAGGTGTGAGCCACTTGTGTCCAGACAATCTTAGGTTTTCAAGAACTAGTCACCCTTGATCTGTTATTTTGAAAATGCACAAGGAGAATTTGGATATATCCTATTGAAAAGGGGATGGTTTTTTTCCCACAGAGTGAGGATGAAGACAGAAGCCACAGCATTTCCTTATCTTGGATGTAGCGATCTTCAAGAACTTGTCTTCAAAATTCTACAGTCATTTCATGGTCAGCACTATAGGCCCAGTGTCTCTTGTATTTTCCAAAATGGAGCCAGATGCCCTGTACTATCTGCTATGAAACCTTCAATAGAAAAGCTGCATGCCTAGAGCAGGTCACTTAAAGCAATGCCATTACCTGTGAAGGGAGAAATGCCCTTGGTTTCCCACTGTGCATTCCTGGCTCTTCCATGTGACGAAGAAACATCTGGTGGAGGGCATGGGCCATGGCATACACAGCGTTATAGATGTTGTAACTCTCTTTTGACATGGTCATGTCAAAAATATGCCTCAGCAACCAATTCCTACAACCATTGTAGGAACAGTGCCCCAAGTCTCTGCAGTCAGACTTAATCAGTAGGCTATAAACAGACTTAATCCATGACCTGGGAAGGGAATTATTTCCTGAGTTCTTGCACAAGGTCTCTGTCAGAATAAAATTGGTAAACCCAGCAGTGTTTCTATGATGGTGAGAGAAGATGAGAGAAGCGTGGAAAAAATTAGATTTGCATATGAAGAAACTCTCAAGAAATTCAATTCCATTTGAGAGCAGATTGTCCACCAGAGTTCAACCAATATCAGCAGAGATGCAGGGCCTGCTGTGTTAGGAGTAAATAGGAAAGCAGGCTGCCTTGTGTCTGTGCTCGCTTGCCACACTTTTGCCGATGGGACACCCTTCTGCAAAGAAGTGAATCTTTCTTTTGTGAGGAAAGTTAAGAAAACAAAGAAGAGCTGGGAAGGTGGCTCAATGGTAGAGTGCTTGCCTTGCATGTATGAGGTCCTGGGTTGGATTCTTCAGCACACATAAGCAGAAAAAGATGGAATTGGTGCTGTGGCTCAAGTGGTAGAGCGCTAGCCTTGAGCTGAAGAGCTGAGGGACAGCTTCCAATCCCAGAGTTCAGGCCCCACAACTGGCAAAAAAAAAAAACAAAACAAAACAAAGAAATACAATTCATATCATGCAGTAGAGGCAAACTAAGCTGACTCAGAGAATGTCATCATTCAAGAGGATTCCCCAGAAGCAGAGCAAGATGGCAGCTGACAAAGAGAGAATATAAAGATTGCACCACCCAACAAAGAACATATGAGAGTCAAGTGGTGTGGACCGGAGGGTACTTCTCTAGTAGAACAAAGCAACAGAAAAGGATGTAGGAGAAAAGGTGGAAGAAGCTATCACCATGTCCTCCCTATCAACAGCATTAGTAGCTCATTATGGACAGAAACCCTCCAACATTGCAGGGAGGGAGAGAATTAAAGTTAAATCTCAGCACCCTGCCCATACACTGAGTCCAGTGCTGGGGAAGTGGTTGTAGTCTCTACTGTTGTGTCCAAACCTTTAGATTGTGCCTCTGGAACTGGTTTAGCACAGAGAAGAAAGACACTGCTACAGCCTTACTCCTCCTATCTTGTGAATGATAGCAGGTACGGGATACAACCTCCTAGTGAAGAGGGCATAAGAGTGGGTCAGGGTTTTTCTTAGAACCGTTTGTCAGGCATGTCATGGTTGAACCACTAATCCAGAATAAACTAGAGTCACTGTTTGGTTCTGCCACCCCAGCTTTCATTGGAATCTTTCAGGAGGTGTTGGAAGGTCCCTGAGGCAGAACCAAATGCCATTTGCATCAGTTTCCACCATGGGTGGAGTAGGCTGACACCTGTCTTCCTGCTTAGCCTTGTAAAACCACTGTTGCTGTGTGACTCCGTTAACACGTGGCTCAGTCCCAGTCTTGTTGGGCAGTGAATCATCTCAGGGACCATTGCCCTAAAAGGACTGTGCTCAACATGATATCAGGCTGAAACTTAGGTTGCTCTAGGAATCCAGTGTGCATTGGTCTTACAGCAGCACAAGCTATAGTGAGGTCTCAGTGTATCCACATGACTGTTTGGGCTTTCTGGATGGGATATTAAGCCTGAGTGCATGGTGGTGGTCACTGAAATGGCCCTGTGGGGTTTTTTTTGTTGGTTGTGGGGCTTGAACTCTAGGCCTGGGTTTTGACTCTGAATCCTTCAGGTCAAGGCTAGCTCTTTAACACTTGAGCCACAGTTCCACCACCAGTTTTCTTATGTTTTTGTGGAGATAAAAGTCTCAAAGTATTTTCTGCCTGGGCTGGTTTTCAACCCTAATCCTCTGATCTCAGCCTTCTAATTAGTTAGGATTACAGGTCTCTGCCAACACTGCAAAGCTTGTGGCTTCCTTGACAAAACTTTCCATGCTTCTGTGACACATCCTGGTTCTCCATCCCACTTGTCATGGATAAGACAGAAAAGCAAGATGGTGATATTGTCCCACAGCTTAGTGTGGCCCAGGTGATAGCATCACACCGGTGCCATGACCCCATAGCCAAGACAGCCTCTGGCAGAGCTCTGTAATCATCTCAGTACCTGAGAAAGTCATCTACCACCAGACAATCAGAGTTCTACTCTAGCTATCACTAATTGCATATGGTGGGCCCAATCTTGGACAATGAGCCCACCTCTACCACATAAAACCTGGGAGGATCTTAGTGCTCACCCAGGGCTGTCTGGTCTTTTTTTTATTGTGAAAATACTGTTCAGAGGGGTTACAATTACATGGGCAAGATAATGCGTACATTTCTTACCAAGCATTGCAGCCTCCTCCTTTGGTTTACCCTTCACATCCCTTCCCAGCCTCCCCCCTCTCCCCGAATACCAATCCTTCTCCTTCTCCCCCTTCCCCCCCCCGTACCGACATTGTAAAGCTCGTTTTGGACATGACAACTTGTACTTCTCATTGTTGCAACAGGTCCACCTGTATCCTTAAACAACTGGTTTTTCCCCATCTCCTCCACAAGTTATACTGACATCTAATATAGTGAAAGAAGGGGTTATACTGTGGGGGAGGGACATACAAAGCAACAAAGAGATAATATTATAAATGCGTTAGAAACACATGCATAAAAGAAAAAAACATTAAAATACATATCTAAGGGTTCATTTTCCTGACATCACATTATCTGACCTTTTCCGCTTGACTCATACATATACTAGATATTGCAAATAAGGAAAACCATGGGACTTATGTTTCTTTGGGCTTGGCTTACTTCACTTAATATAATTTTTTGCAAGTTTTTCCATTTCCTAACAAATGGGGCAATGTCATTCTTTCTGCTGGAGGCATAGAATTCCATTGTGTATATATACCACATTTTCTTGATCCATTCATCTACTGAGGGGCATCTGGATTGGTTCCATATCTTAGCTATGGTAAATAATGCTGCAATAAACATAGTTGTGCTGGTAGCTTTAGTGTGGTCTTGTTTGTAAACATTTGGGTAAATGCCCAAAAGTGGGATTGCTGGGTCATAGGGGAGTTCTATGTGAAGTCTTTTGAGGAACCTCCATACTGCTTTCCAAAGTGGTTGAACAAGTTTACATTCCCACCAACAATGAAGTAAGGTTCCTTTCTGTCCACATCCCCTCCAGCATCTGTTGTTGTTAGATTTCTTGATTTTTGCCGTTCTAACTGGGGTGAGGTGATATCTCAATGTTGTTTTGATTTGCATTTCTTTTATGGCTAGGGATGTTGAACATTTCTTCATGTGTCTATTGGCCATCCTTCTTTCTTCTTCAGAGAAGTTTCTCTTTAAGTCTTTTGCCCACTTATTTATTGGGCAGTTGTTTCTTTGAGGATTTGTTGTTGGGGGATTTAATTTTTTGTGTTCCAAGTATATTTTAGATATGAGACCCTTGTCCGTTGTATGACTAGTAAAGATCTTCTCCCAATCCGTGGGCTTTCTATTGATCTTGCTAGCTATGTCATTTGCCCCGCAGAAGCTCTGCAACTTTATGCAATCCCATTTGTCCAACCTTTCTTTGATTTGTTGTGTTTCCGGGTCTCTATTCAGAAAATTTCGGCCTGAGCCAAGGAGACCTAGGGTTTCTCCTATTCCGTCCTGTAATGTTTTCAGAGTGTCTGCTTTGACTTCAAGGTCTTTGATCCACTTGGAGTTGATTCTGGTGCAGGGTGATATATAACGATCTAGCTTTAGTTTTCTACATGTAGTTAACCAATTTTGCCAGCACCATTTACTGAAGAGGCTGTCTTTCTTCCATTCTATTGTTTTAGCTCCCTTATCGAAGATTAGATGGCTATAGGTCTGTAGGTTCATTTCTGGGTTTTCAATTCTATTCCATTGGTCCTGAGGTCTCTTCTTATGCCAATACCAAGCTGTTTTGATTACTATGGCTTTATAGTAGGGTTTGAAATTTGGTATTGATATTCCTCCAGCAGTGTTCTTTCCATTGAGGAGCGTGTTTGCTATTCGGGGTCTTTTATTGTTCCATATGAATTTTTGGATTGCCTCTTCTATTTCTTTGAAGAATGAGGTTGGAATTTTGATAGGTATTACGTTGAATTTGTAGATAGCCTTGGGAAGTATTGCCATTTTCACGATGTTAATCTTTCCAATCCAGGAGCATGGGAGGTTTTGCCATTTTCAAAGTTCTGTTTTGATTTCCTTTTTCAAGATTTTAAAGTTTTCATCATAGAGGTCCTTCACTTCTTTGGTTAAGTTAATTCCTAGGAATTTTATTTTTTGTGGGCTATTACAAATGGAGTTGCTTTCCTAATTTCAGCCACACTTTTCTCATTGTTGGCATGCAGAAAAGCCATTGATTTTTAAGGGTTAATTTTATACCCTGCTATTTGCCAAAGTTTTGAATCAGCTTGAGTAATTTGGGAGTGGAGTCTATGGGATTCTTTAAATACAAGATCATGTCATCTGCAAAGAGGGAGAGTTTTATTTCTTCTTTCCTTATTTGGATCCCCTTTATGTCTGCATCTTGTCTTATTGCTGTAGCTAGGCATTCTAATATTAGATTGAAGAGAAGTGGAGAGAGTTGGCATCCTTGTCTTGTCCCTGAGTTAAGAGGAAATGGCTTTAGTTTTTCACCATTGAGTATAATGTTGGCTGTAGGTTTGTCATATACAGCCTTTATTGTATTGAGGAATGTTCCATGGATTCCTAATTTTTCCAAAACCTTCCTCATGAAGGGGTGTTGGATCTTGTCGAATGCTTTTTCTGCGTCTAATGAGATAACCATGTGGTTCTTACTCTTGCTCCTGTTGATGTGATGAATAATATTAATTGATTTGCGTATATTGAACCAGCTTTGCATCCCTGAAATGAATCCTGTTTGATCGTGGTGTATGATTTTTTGGATGAATTGTTGAAGTCGATTGGCCAAAATTTTGTTGAGAAGTTTTGCATCAATATTCATCAAAAAAATGGGTCTATAGTTCTCTTTCTTTGATGA